CCTTCCCCAGTCGAGCCTTGAGATGAGACGGCAGCCCCAGCCGACACCTGGACTATCATCTTGTGAGGTCCTGAGCAACTAACCCACTCTCTGCCTAGGCTCCTGACCCTAGCAGATAATCAACGTGTGTCATTTTAAGTTGCTGGTTTCTTGTTATTCAGCAAGAGAAGATGAATCCACCTTGTCTGATGTCTTATTTCTCTTCCTTTCATTCATTCACAGATAGCATACTGTGGGTAACTGTCAGGGAGTCAGGCAGACAGGCCCTTGCTAGGTATATGACCTTGATGAAACCGTCTGATCTACCTAAGCTTCAGTTTCTTCATCTGTAGACAGGGATGACAACAGTGCCTCCTGCAGGACTGTGGAGGGATTCAATGAGACAACATATGGAAAGCATTCAGCATGATGCCCTATACCCAGTAAGTGGGAGGATGGCTATCCTTATGGAGCTGCCTGCTTATAGCCACACATTCAGCCCCACGTAGCAAAGGTTTCTTTAGATTCACTTTTTTGGCCAGTTTTCTCCATAAACATAGCACTTGATAGGGCAGAAATCAGTCAAGGGCCCAGGCGTGCTCTCGAGCACTGCATGGTGCAAGGTGCGTGTACAGGCAGCTGGGTGACGCCCACAGGGCAGGGCTGGTCTTTGTTATCCCTCAGAGAGGGGGCTTGTACCTGATGCCACCGGGGTTTGTGCACCAGGAGCGGGAGCCTGCCGCCATCTCTCTTTTTTGGGGGCAAGGTGGGGGCAAAGAGGTGCCAGGGCCCTTGACTCCCTCCACATCCCATGGGATTCCTGCCCAGTGGAGTGTTGGGAGCAGGCAGGCTCATTCAGGACCCCATGGGAGATGGTGCCAATGACTGAATCTAGCCCAGCCACTCAGGTCATTAAATTGTTTTAGGGTTCACGCTCCCCAAACGTTCGCGCGGCCATCCTTGACCACCTCTCCAATGACACTATACAAACTCTTCTTGGAGAAGTACTGTTTCATCATGAACACTTTTTTCTTTAAATCTTGGCAAGAGATGATTTTCCTGAGAAAGTGAATGTTGCCAGCTGCCAGCTTTGCCTCTGCTGCAATCTTAAGAGTGCAAACACTTCTTCATGAGCCTTTTCTTCCCAAGGTCGAGGTGATATTTTAGATCCAGAAATGGGAAGCGAATTTTTCCAATTACGTTTTTGGCGTTTTATTATTCCAACCAATCCATATAAAGCAAATAATAGAAAATTAGAAACAGTCCCCTGAAATAAGAATCTTTTCTCCTCCCTACATGGGACCGTTCTCACTGTGAGCTTACTGACTGCAGTCATCGGTTTTCAACTTCCAGGGAGTAACAATGACTTTCAGGCTATCTAATTAGCTTTCCGTCAATAACACCAGGCAGATAAAACATGCCAATTTCCCTGACATTCTTGTGTCAGAACATGCACGTTTTATGGGAAGCACTTTTCACCTGTGAAGCCGTGGAGCTGCGGAGCCAAGGGGCCTCTGAGAGGTGACCCCTTGGCTGCCCTCCCAGTCCCACCAGCCTCATCCAGTCTGGGCTGGAGGCGAGTGGAGCTGCCACTGCCTTTGGCTCGATTTTCAAAGCTGTGCCATGGAGACAGGCCGGGACCACAGTGACAGAAACCAAAAGGCTGTGAGTGTCACCGGCCCCCAGCTCCTTTAGGGCTTCCTCATTTTGTGCCCTCACACAGAGCAAGGTGGAAATCAGGACAATTTTCCTGGTAATTAACCAAAAAAAAAGTACTTTCACTTTCACAATGTTTATTTCCGGTATATATGTATACATTTACATGTAGGTAGGTATACAGGAGCCCTGGTGGCGCAGTTGGAAAAGCGATCGACAGCTAACTGAAAGGTCAGCCATTCAACACCACCAATGACTCTGAAAGAGAAAGACGTGGGAGCCTGTTTCTGTAAAGATTTACAGCCTTGGAAACCCTATGGGGTCGCTATGAGTCGGAATCGACTGCATGGCAGTGGTTTGATGTTTTGGGTATATATGTGTAAGGAGCCCTGGTGGCACAGTGGTTAAGAGCTCAGCTGCTCACCAAAAGGTCAGCAGTTGGAATCCCCCAGCCACTCCTTGGAAACCCTATGGGGCAGCTCTACTCCATCCTGTAAGGTCACTATGAATGGGAATTGACTTGATGGCAACTGGCAATGGGCATATATGTTATTATATATGTATGTATGTATACACACACACACATACACACACACACACACATATATGTTGTTGCACAGTCCTGTGTCATCTTCACCATGGCTGGTATACTCAAGGTCATTTTGGTGGCCACTGTGTACTTTGAGTGCCTTCCAACCCAGGGGGCTCATCTTCCAAGCGCTATATAGGAAAATGTTCTGTTGTGGCCCACAGAGTTTTCATTGGCTAACTTTCAGAAGTAGTTTTCCAGGCCTTTCTTTCTAGTCTGTCTTAGTCTGGATGCTCTGCTACAGCCAGTCTACCATGGGTGACCCTGCTGGTATTTGAAATACCAGTGGCATAGCTTCCAGCATCATAGTAACATGCAAGCCACCACAGTGCAACAAACTGACAGACAAGTGGTGGGTAGACACACACACACACACACACACACACACACACACACGCAGTTTTAATCTAAATGACTTCAGCCAACTCTAGGTCCTAAATGGGCCCCTCCTGAAACTCTTTGTCCCCCAAGCAGGAAGGCAACCTGATACATTCTAGAAAAACATAATTGATTCCAAAATCATGTACAAACTCATGAAACTCATAAAACACACACAAACTCATAAAACACATGTGTGGCTGATATCTCCTTTCAGCACCCAACACAAAAGCCTCCACCTGCCTCACCCACACGTCCTGGGAAGAGAGGTGGCGATGGCAGTGCTGCTGAGGAGCTGGTGATGGGCTGGAGTAACCGCCCCTGTGGCCACGGCAGGAGGTGCTGGGAGACGCTGTGGGCACGGCTGCGATGACCGGACCCATGGACAAAGCAGGGCCAGCTGGAGGACAGCCTCGCCTGGGGCTGGCTCCATCCTGCACCCAACACTGCTCCGCCCTGAACCCCACTCCAGCTTGTCCTGGGATGATGGCCAGAGGCCATATTTTGTATCCAGATCCAAGGCTTTCGGTCTAGAAAACCAATCGTCACTGTCCTTGCATGTGTTTGGGGCAAGAAAGAAAGAGAAAGTGGCCTTAGAAGGAAAGCGAGGATTCATCTGAGAAGACTGTTTAAGAATTATTAGAAAGGGTCCGGCTGAGCCTCCTGCATGTGAATGTTTGATGAGGAGAAGGAACAGGCCACAGCCTATCAGGTAGCCCTCTGGATCCTGGGGACAGTGGGAGAGGGAGGGGTGACACGGTGAATGGGCGATGGGCTTCCTGCTTTTCCCACGCCTCTTCTTGGGGATCCATCTGCCACCACCCAGAGCAGCGTCCTCAGATACAAGACCCACGGCTCTGGCTCCTGTGACCAGGACCAGACGTGCAGCCCTGACTCCCTTCAGGAAGATACCGGCTCAGCGGGGAGGAGTTAGGTGCTGGGGTTGTAAGATCATGGGGTTGTAAGGTCATGGGGTCGTAAGTTCATGGGGTTGTAAGATCATGGCGTTGTAAGGTCATGGGGTTGTAAGGTCGTGGCTTTGTAAGGTCATGTAAAGCACAAAGTCCCGAGGACTGAAGTTAACGTGGAGCAGAGGAGTTTGCTTTATAGGAGCTAACACAACCGGGGACACGTGCGTGGAAAGGAGAGAGAGGGCCCACAATCCCGGGGGGCGGAAAGGAGCAGAGGGGCCGCCTGAGGACTTCCCCTTCTGGGCCTCCTCTGCATCCCCAACCGTGTTTCCCTGAGGGGATCCCTGAGCCTTCAAGTAAACGTCCTCACCCTAACTAGTGTTTACATCATTTATGCTACTTTAACGCCGAACACTTGGTGTGATCTGGGCAGCCAGGATGAAACAAACACATGCTCAAACCGCAAAACCACCTGTTTTCATTCAAGTCAAGGGCGACGCACAGCGAATCGCCGGAGACCTCAGCTTCCTGCAGTGGGTATCCGGCCAGCTCACCGCCAGAACGCACGGACCAATGTTGCGTGATCCTTTTAAAAGCAACAATGGCAGGAGTTTGGGTGGCAGGGACACCAGGCCTTTCCTGCAGGGGGCTCGCGGGGCACTCATCAGCACAGTTTGGGGACTCAACTCACCCGCTGCTCCTCCTACATCACAGGACAAACCATCACCGTCTCTGTTGTCCATGGCATACCTGGCAGCGTTTCCACGGTTTCCATTTAAAAACAAAAAAGGGAGCCCACGCACCTCCACGACAAAACAGCCATCCACATCTAGGTATATGTGGAATTGGAAAGGGGCGATAAGAATCACATCTGAGGGGTTCTGGTGATGTTTTCTCCTGGTGCCAATTGATTGGTTGAGGAAAACAGAACTGTCTCACTAATTTTAACTGTAATTTCACAAGACTGTCTCTGAAACTGAAATGGGACATGGGAAAAGAATGATCACGAGGACGGCACAGGACTGGGGGATATTTCGTTCTGTTATACATAAGGTCGCCATGAGTTGGGGCCCATTCAGCAACAATTAACAGCAAGACATTTGAAAAAGCCATACTAACAGCCATATATAAACATACATGTGGTCTGCAGTACTCATCATTATGATATTACAGAAGAAAAATAATACTATCTTCATGACAGTGAAATGCTCAGAACTGAAGGCAATTTAAGATCAAAGCAAATGTGTCCATTCCCCCGGAAAACTGACTAACTGGTCCCTTAGCTAGAGTTTTCTTTTACAAGTGCAAGTTGGAGATAGACATATGCTTTTTAAACTCAGATCTACTCTGTACCAGTTAGGACAGGAAGGATATTTCCGAACCGAGAACAGACCAATATTTCATGGTAAAGATACGACTGACTTAGAGCACATTCGTCACACTCTAAAAAGTTAGAGATTAATTTCCAGAGTCATTTGCACACTTATTCAGGATTCTGCTCTTCGAAAGGAAGTGTTTTTCATCCCTGTGCCAATGCCATTGCGAAAAGACCTTTTCATAAACGTCTGCTCCAGAATTGGCTTGAGGAAAGCGAGTTCCTCGCTCCTGTCCATCCCAGCTGGGCAGCTGTTCAGCAGGATGAGAAAGTAATTTGATTCTCCAGACACCTGGCAATTCAGATGGGGCAGAGGGAGAGAAGACAGCTTTTAGGTTTAAAAGTTTATTTCCATAGTAACAATTTTCAAAACCTTATGGCAATATATCCACTATATCCAATCTTTTTAATATGGAAATTTTGCTAAAATACAATATATATTTTATGTAGACCCAAAATATTATTTGGGTTTGTCTATCTTCCTGTCTGATTTTTATACTACTTACACGATTGTCACTATTTAGTATTTACATCACGCATCAAACATAGTCATCTTCTTGCTATTACTTATAAGGAATATTTCAAGTGGCACTAATGAGGCCCAGGAAGAGTTTTTAAAGATTCACTTCTTAGGAAAACAACCCGTGACAACGAAATTCCAGGTGTCGTTCTGAACCACTTTGCTTCTGGAGCCCGTCTTGGGCCATTTGCCAAGGTTCTCCTTAATGATATCTTGCCACTTGAACGCTAGCATCGTTGTCTTTGGAATCCAGTTCTTAATCAGTGGCTCGAAGGCCTCAATAGTGTAGGATCATGTAAGGGGACACTTAGTGGTTAAAGAAATTAACCAAACCACAAAACCCATTGTCATCAAATTAATTCCAACTCATGTCAACCTCATGTGTTACAGAGTTGAACTGCTCCGTAAGGTTTTCTTGGCTGTCATCTCTACGGAATCAGTTTGCCAGGCCATTCATCAATGGCACTGCTGGGTGGGTTCAAATTGACAACTTTTAAGTTAGTAGTCAAAAGCAAAGCTGGAATCTTGGAGCTCAAATTGGCCCTCCAGAACCCATAGTTCAACTCCTGTATTTTGCAGATGACAAAACCAAGTAGGAGAGAAAACGGGTCCCAAGCCATGAAGCTAGCAAGTCCACCAGGTGGTCCTGACCCCAGGACTTGGGTAGGAATTGTCAACACTTGTCAGATTTCCTCTCCCATGTGGTTTCAGAAGAATCATTGCACGCTGACCAGGTGCTAATGAAAACCCATCAGCAACAAGAGCAAATAACAGCGAATATTTGTGCTACACGCTTCACGTGCACTGTCGGATTTCACGCCCTCAGAAAATTCTTACCAATAGGTACCATTATTTCCTCAGTTTTAAATGAGGAAATTAAACGGCAGGGATTCACCCCCAAGCACCTGACTGCAAGCCCACGTTTGTAACAACTATACCAGACCTACAAGAGGAAAACGGTGCTGAAAGATTTTATTATAAATAAAGGAAACATACTGCACATAGAAATTACACATTTCCCCCATCTTGATACAGGAAAACAAGTTTGGCCCCATGTTACTGTATTTGGAGGTTGAAACAGGTACCCACGGTACATAAAACACTCCCCAGCATTCTTCATCCACTCCTGGGTGGTGTACTGAAGATTCAAGTGATCACAGTTCCCAAGAAAATCATTCTCACAGGCCTCTGGGTAGGTAGGAGGGAGGCTTAGAGAAAAGATGCCCCCCTCTTTTTTTTTTTTGGATGGGGGGAATAGTCAAAGAGAGTTCCAGAAATATTGGGTGTGAGAAAACCAATCAAAAACCCTTATTTGAACATCCACTGTGTGTTTTCTCCTGTGTTAACAAATTTAAACTTGATATAACATGTTCTATATTTTAATGCCCACCAAGGAGGGCCTATGGGTCATTTCGGGAAAGGAAGCAATCGAATTATTTCCAGAAATACTCGTGGTGCCACCTTTATACTATAAAGGAAATGTATCCGCTCTAGTTATGAGAATAAACAAACATTCCTAAAAAGATACCCATGCCCTTCTTGAGTCATTTGAAGAAAACCCTTAGCAGAGCAGACTCATACGTGGAATAATACTGTGTGTTTGCCCGATTGATGGACTGTATGAATTCACAACCATTATTATAAAAACCTATAGATCATCTGGCCCCATAATCATTATTATGGATTGAATTGTGTCCCCCAAAAATATGTGTTGTAAATCCTAACCTCTAGGCCTGTGGCTATAATCCCACTGCGGAATGGGTTGCCTTTGTTATGGCAAAATTAGTATAGGGTGTGTCTTAAGTCAATCTCTTTTGAGATCCAAAAGAGATTAAAAAAGCAAGCGAGCAAGCAGAGATGGGGGAAGAGAGATGCTAAGCCACATGGAGATCATCCAGGAGCAGAAGTTCAAAGAGACAAGGACCTTCCACCAGAGCCGACAGACAGAAAGCCTTCCCCGAGAGCCGGCACCCTGAATTCAGACTTCTAGCCTCCTAAACGGTGAGGAAATAAATTTTGGTTGTTAAAGTCACCTGATTGCGGTATTTCTGTTATAGCAGCACTAGATAACTGAAATCGTCATTCACCCCAGACAGTCAGATTGATGTGAATATTGCCCACACCATGACTACATGAACAAAGCTGTCCCGTGCAATAACAGAAACACAGAAAACGCAGTAAAAAGGGGAACACTTCATTTGTGGACCAGGAAGTTTCATAAGTACATTACAAGAAAGCACAGTCTTAATTTTTAAAACAATATCTGCACGAGTTCCTCTTGTTCAACAGAAATGACATGAACAAACCTTTGGGGAAAGAATAGAAAGTAATTAGGAGGACACGTGAGAAAATAGACCAATTTAGGGATTGTGACTCATCAGCTGGATCAATGTGGTGTCTGAGAGACCCAATGACTAAACGAGCGTGGAATGCTCCGAGGAGTCATCAGGAGGAAAGCCCTACTGAGCAAGCAAGCAGTAGAGAAACCACAGATACAAAGATTCCCGAGAAGGCCAACAAGGGAACCAGCTAGATCTTTACATTTGGACACACATGGCTTCCTTAGGATTTACGTGCTAGCTCTTCATTCTAGAAGCAATTTCATAATTTACACTGATTTCAGTTATTACAGGGTACCGGCTTACATTTCAGTGAAGGAAAGTGAAAGCTCAAAACGCCATCAGACACAAAAGATATTTTAAATTTTTGAACAAAAGTATTGCCCTAAAAGCAACTGAAATATCATACAGAAATAGTATTAAAAATTCCAAAGAAAGACATTTATTTTCTGAATATCTTGAACAGTTCAATGCAGACCGTTAGAAGCCCAATCAATATTCTTGAGTAAATATATGAATTAATATTTTATATAAACATTTCATTAAAAGCTAACATTTAATCTATATTCTATATCTGAAAAAATTCTCATTTTTGTAAGTTAGGAAAGGCACTGTTTTCGAAAAACGATCCGCCGTATTTTTTAATATAGTTTCATCGGTTAAATGTCCTCTTTGGTTATGAACAGATACATGTGGAATACGTAAAATTGTCAAGGGTCAAAATGAACATTTTGCATTGCAATGAATATTTTCCTATGTAGTGACCAGCCCCTGAAAAGTCAAAAAATTTTCATCTAGTCTAGTATTCTTTATGGTCACATAAATCTGCTTCTTTTTAATAATTTCATGACTCTGCTTTTTTTTTTATTTTAAGCTCTAATAATAAAGGAAATCATTTTTCTGCCACATGTTCCTTGGGATTATTTTGAACTTACATGCTCTACAATTCTAGTCATCTACTCAAACACGAAACAGAGAGGCAAATCTTACCTTAGAAGGTGTAACAGGATAACATCAGAACACATGCATCGTGGAAATCAACGGCACTAGAATAAGACTGAATCTTAACGAGCTGCAGGGTAGGCAAGAAAAAATTCAGATTAGTCTCATTTAGACAAGTGTAAGTAAGATAGCACACAAAAAGTCAACATTTTTCTTTGTAGAAAAAACGCAGTCTTTTACCTAATCATATTGGGCTTTCCCCAAATCTGTGCCAATCTGTGGTTTTATTGCCAGATTCCTCACACTTACTCCTCCTTGGGTGATCCTTTTATACCAGAAAAGTTCTGCAGTGAAAATGCCATCACATCTCATCATACGTGACTAATCGGTCTGGCCATGGCCATTTTTTCTTGTTAAGTAGGAAAAAGACGAAGTCACTGGGATCCCAACGACTGACATCGTTTTAAGTATGCCGTTTGAAAACGTCCTTCAAAGCATTGTCTTCTAGACTGCATCATGGTGACATAGATGGCCAGAGGTCTCAAAAGGAACCGAGAGTTGGCTCAGCTTAGAGTTGAAACACTTGACAAGTATGGCATTATTTCCTTTAGTGTCTCCCAGACGTCTGGCTGCAGAAACCAATAGAAAAGAAATCCTTACAAGCGGAGAGGGCATCTACCCGAGACACGCAGGCAGCTTGTTTAAATTCTGCCCTAGACTTCCTTCCCGTAGAATTTCAGCCATTAAAGCAGGAAAACGAACACCGTATCCCTTTGTCACTAGTCATCCAAATTAAAATAAAGCACTCCCTCAACCTCCTTTCCATGCAAATCTCCAAAGTCGAGGCCCAGAGGCCGTGGCCTCCTTTTCCTCTCCAGAGTATGGAATGTCTCTGGAAAGCCTTTGCTGCCCATGCAGTTCAGTGGACATCCACATTAATAAATTGATTCTGGGGCGCTAAGTGTGAACAGATGTTGCTGAGGCTTACCATGGAGGAAAACACCAAGCGAAGTGGTTTCTGCTTGGGTAACTGTTGTTTCTGAGATGCAGCCAACATTTTTTGAATACGAAGCAACCGAGGAAAATCTTTGCCTTCTCAAGACCAGCAGTTCTTGGAGGATGAAGCTGCCCTGTGTCTAGGTATTTGCCTACCTATTCATCAGTGCTGCATCCTTTCTTTTGAGACTCGTCACTCCATTTGATCCTCGTGTCGCTGTCAATCATGTGGCCACATGTTGCTCACCACAAGGAACAGCAGGTGACCAGATTCTCAAGAGAACCCAGATCACAGCGATTGGTCTCAGTTTGGGGGCTAGGGCAAGTGATCCAAACACCTTTGACCAGAGTCCTTTTGGGAACATCTTCTGGACACTGGGAGATAAAGGGCCTTAAGAGAACCAAAGAAACATACACATTTGTTTTTGTCTCTGGTTAAACCCAGTTAAAATACGCCCACAAGAGCGAAGAGAATGGGGAGAAGACTACAGCAGCAGCATTTTGTTGAGTGATGAGCGATTGACTAAACAGACCTGAGAAAGACGCTTACTCAAATAGGAGCTTAGTAACAGATCCTCAACAGACTCAACTATTTATGGAACCAGATACTTTGGGGACTCTGAGGTCAACCTGCTCTCCAGAAGGCTCTTTGGACAACCCAGGTCTATTCCAACTTCTCTGGGTCTTCCAGGTAAGGCGTTTAGACCAGGTGCTCTTAGTTAGACAGCCATGGACTCCCAAGGAGATCCGCAGATGGGCTTCCGAACCCTTGAGCCCCCTGATATCCTATATTGATTATTGTGTTTCTGTGCACGTGATCCTCCTTCTGGGGAGAAGAAGCAAAGCTTTCATCAGATTCTCAAACATTTCCTATGATCCATGAGTCCCCCTCCCCGAAAGAAAGGAACTACTGATTTAGACATAAACCTACAACCAGTCCAAATTATCTCGCCCCCTGACATAAAGTTAAATGGATGGTATCTCTTCCTTCCTCTGCCATCTGCCCTCATATCAAAACCCAAAGCGTTTCCATCAAGTCGATTCTGACTCATGGCAACCATTGTGTTACAGGATAGAATGACTCCTTAGGGTTTTCTAGGCTGTAATCTTTATGGAAGCAGATTGCCAGGCCTTTCTTCCTCAGCACTTCTGGGTAGGTTTGAACTGTCAATCTTTAGGTTAGTAGCTGAGAGCAAACTGTTTGCAACTCCCAGAGATTTATCTGTCCTCATTTGTTGTTGTGTGCCATCGAGTTGATTCCGACTCACAGCGATCCTACGGGACAGAGTAGAACTGCCCCATGGGGTTTCCTAGGCTGTAATCTTTACAGAAGCAAATCCCCAGGTCTTTTCTCCTGTGGAGCTGCTGGGTGGGTTTGAACCGCTGACCTTTCGGTTAGCAGCAGAGTGCTTAACCATTGCAACCTCATAGCGCTCATTTATTCATTCGTTTGGTAGGCTGGACTAATAAAGGAACATAGAGGACACAGACTTAATGGTGAGTGAGGCTGATGGGGTATATCCTTGTTCAGACACAGTCACTCCCTACCTTTTCCCCCTCTATGAACGCAGTGTACTTCCCCACTCCTCAGCTTTGCGACTGGCCGTGAAACTTGCTTTGGCCAATGGATCATAGCAGATATAATGCAACAAAAGGCATGAAAAGCACGTGTCTGGTTGCATTCCTGCCATTGCTGTGATAGAACAGGCCCATGCCAGCCCGCTGCTCCCAGGAGGATGATGGGAGGCCCGTGCAGCGGACCTGCCCCAGACAAGCCTGGTCTGGATTGTCCAACTCGAAGCTCACCCACACACATGTGAGCAAGGACTGCTGATCTCAGCCAGGCATCCAGCCCAGTGAGCTTAGATCAGCCACCCCCAGCCTACGGACCCGGGTGCAGCACTACACATCTGCTGTTTGAAGTCACCGAGTTTTGGGGTGTATTGTTACACAACAAACTGCTACAGCTGGTGTTCAATAAACATTCACTGAGGGAAAGAAATCCTGAAAAGCTTTGAATGCTGTGTGCAGGACTCAGGATTCCTTCCCAAATCTAGTCCTGTAATTGCTGCTGGCATGCTGGCCTTCCTTCCCCAAACTCGAAAGCTCATCTGATGGTACTACACAGCACCATGACTGGGGTAGGGAGCTCTCTGCCAGCATTGACAACTGACCAAAAGGTCATGACCTCTCATGCATGGAAATAAAAGTTACAGAGTAGTAAGCATTTTGAATCAATTTTTATCCAAAATCTATCTATCCAAAAGAAACACGTTTGCCTTCAAGAGTAACTTCTGTATATAAATCAATCACAACAGTGTTTATTGTAAGGTGTTGAGTCTACCATTTGCTCACTGGATACATATTTTGGGATACTGCCACATATTAAAAACAGAAGCCCTGGTGCAGTGGTTAAAGTGCTCAGCTGCTAACCAAAATGTTGGTGGTTTGAACTCACCAGCTGCTCCTCAGGAGGAAGATGTGGCATTCTGCGTCCCTAAAGATTGCAGTCTTGGAAACTCTATGGAGCAGTTCTACTGTGTCCTATGGCATGACTATGAGTCAGAATTGACTCGACAGCTACGTGTTTGGTTTGATTTTTGCCATGTACTGGGCTCTGTGCTGGATGCTGGGGGCAGGGGAATGAATAAGGCACACCCATCTCTTATCTTCATGGGGTTCTCAGCTAAGGTTCAAGCAAGATTTGCCTTTGAATTTTGAATTTGAATTTTAAAACAGGACCCAGGCAGCAGCTGGACAGACCATTATGAGAAGGGTGGGCTGGAACTTGGGGCATGCAAAGGGCCCCTGACTTCTGGGGCCAGGACAAAGTCCCAGCATCTTGGCTTCCTTCCCAAACTATTGACTGAGACCTGACTTCCTGTGAATGCGAGGTAGAGCCTTTCATTACTTAATTAGGGTCTAGGATCAGAGTGCCCCAACCCAGCAACATAATTGCCAAATTCAACTCACCCCAACTTATAAATCCACCACCCATCTGTCAATTTATCGCACTGTAGTGGCTTGCGTGTTGCTGTGATGCTGGAAGCTATGCTACTGGTATTTCCAGTACCAGCAAGGTCATTCATGGTGGACAGGTTTCAGCAGAGCTTCCAGACTAAGATACATTAGGGAGAAAGGCCTGGCAATCTACTTCTGAAAATTAGCCAGTGGAAACCCTACAGATCACAATAGAATATTGCCTGAAACAGTGCTGGAAAATGCGCCTCCTAGGTTGGAAGGTACAACACAGTAGCCGCAACAATGGACTTGAACATACCAACGATCTTGAAGGCGGCACAGGACCGGGCAACATTCTGTTCTGCTGTACGTGGGGTCGCCAGGAGTTAGAGCTGACTCAATGGCTAATAATAACAACAACTTCTAAATGTCTAGTGCAAGAAATTATTCGTTCAATCGGTCTTCTATTGTGGGGAGAGCATTCAATGCCTAAAAATGTGGTAGGGTCTGGGACACAGCCTGGAGAGGAGAAATAAGAGCGGAGTCAGGAGCCTCAGAAGAATTCTCCCCTTACTGCGTTGCAAAACGTTTGCCTGGGACCGGACTGTCTTCCTTGGTGACTATGCACGTAGTGTAATGTCTATGATGGATATTTATGATGCAATTAGAACACACACATGCCCTTTGCCAACACCTAAAGGGCAGGTTAGCACCTAACTCAGTCTTGGAATTTAACGGACTTCTCATCGAAAGTTTACTCTCTTATTTGTCATAATGTAACTGTCTTGGAGTCACCCAAGCCCTTTTCACATGTATCCGCAAGACATCAGTGTGGAAGCAAGAGAGAGAAGGAGCAAACACTTTCTGACTTTTGCTTCTCACTGGTCAGCCTGAAAGTGTTCAGAGACAACTTCCGAGTCATCACTCAGAAGTTCAAGTGTGACAAGTCAGACGTATTTGGACCGAAGAGATTGAAGAAGGCCTTTCCTTTCTAATTTCTAGAGCTTCCTGTTATAACACTGGGAAACTTCCTACAAGCACCAACTTTATTGCTACTAGGTTAGTTTCTTACCAAAGCTAGGACTTAGGAATGTGCTAAATGGTTTTTAAAGAACAAATGACGTGCCAGAAAAGGTTAGCAGTTCAGTGCAATTTAGGATTTGGGTGTTTAAAAAAAAAACTCTACAATTGATTCCATTGTCGCTAATTTTAATACCCATTAAGCCCTGCATCCTTCAGCATATATAGAAAAATTGATTTAATTTTACTGCTTCTTAGTTCATACAACTAC